CCTCCTCTCTCTCTCTATATATATATATATATATATATATATATATATATATAGATAGATAATGTTAGTAATATTTGTGCAGGCACCCAAACAAAAAAAAAAGTTCTATGACTGGCCAAAAAAATAAAGCCTAATATGGCCTCAAGCACAAATTCCCAAATCAGAACCATTACATAGTCTTTTCTATCAAGAGTGGAATGTTAATATAGCATTATCAGCAGCATAAAATCCAACTGAGGAGGCAAGCTCAATAATCTAGGTACCACATAAAACAATAACAACAGGGGAAATTGTCAAAATGCACCTAAGATATTAATTATTTAACATTTCGCCCACCTATTTTGATTTTAATTTCAAAGTACCACTCAAAATACACACAATTTTGAGATGGAATTGTAGAAAAAGAGTAATGTTAAATAGTTAAAAAAGTGATGTGTATATTCAACAATAATAATAACAACAACAAAAATAATCTGCTCCATGTAACAAGAAAAACAATTAGTAGAATTAAATTGATAAATATAAAACCAACTACGAGTGACCACAAGTAGCAGAAGTTATCACATTACAATTACCTTGTAAGTTGTTCAGAAACTATTTCATCTTTCAAAAGGTCCAAACTCATCAACCCCTGATCTCCTAATCTTCCTGCTAAATAAAATGTTTTAGTTATTATAGGGCAAGTGTCAGTTCCTATAGTAAAATTCTCAACCCTCAAAAAGAAAGAGGTCAGAACCCAAAGTAACATTTTTAAGCATCAAACAAGCTTCTGAAGGTAAGAGAGACCAATAAAGGAATGAGAATAGGGACCTGATTGAAGAATAGTTCAGCAAAACCAAGCAATTAGGAGCCCCTGATACAGTTGATTTTGAAGTGTGCCCATGTCAAAAGAAATGAATATTTCACAAGCTAATTTAGGCTTCTAGCAGTTGATATTTCCATAAAAATTCATAGAGGAAGCTAGGAACTAATCCTTTTGCATATATCCCAGCAACAGAAGTACAAGTACAAAATACTAGCCAATCTTTCTTATCCCTCAATGCAAAAGAAAGTTCAAGTCCATGACTTCCACAAACAAACCATAAGGATCCAGCAAAAATACAGCCATGCAGCCCTTGCATTGGAACGCCTGAGTCTACAAAGAAACATATTCTTGCAATTCTTAAGTCAAGATGCTTCTGCAAAGGTTGTTCCCATGAATGGTGTAAAACACTGCTCGAGACAACGCCTTAGTGGTACCTCCGGTAAGAGGGGTGGACACATATAGCCTCAAGCCTCAGTGGCTTAGGAAAAATTTCTGAGGGCAAAATTCCAAAACTCCTGCCCCGTTGTGCGCTAATCCTAGACTTTGGGCAAAGAATCCCTCCAAGTCCCAAATTTCAAACATTTTTACGGATTTGAATTTTTCTATATACAAATTGGCATAGATGATACAGCTACTAGAATTTGGCAATAGTAACTTGATCTTTTGGATTCAAATGTTGTATCATGATACATGGATGATTATTCTGAGTTGTTTCTTAATGGTTTATTTCTTCGGCACTACAGCCATAAATGGCATACTCTTACTATGTATAATTGTATATTCACTCAAATAATCATATATACATTCTTGCAACCTCACATGCACAAACAATTACCATTTATGCACAAAGTTGACAATATGTACGATAAATATCCTTAGGAAGAGACATATATAAAAATATTTTGGGGATAAGAGGTACTTTTCAAGTTTCTACCACAGGCCGCATCCTGCTTAGACAGCTGCAGTGATGCCACTTCATACATTTTAAACATCATCTTGCTATGCCAGTCCAGTGTTTATAACATGTCCCAGACATCCACATGTGAATATTGAAGGATAAAAAAGTCAAGCTCAGTGCTAACATTTTAATGAGAGCAGCCCAATTATATAAAATTATCTTCAGGCTTCATTATTGTTAACTATTTAGAAACTTGAGAGATTCCAAGAATCGAACATGGCCGAGATCAAAAACAAGAAAATCTATGCTTCACAACTTATCTAAGAATAAAAAAGGAATTACTTGGAATAGATTAGTACCTTTTCAGCTGGTAATTTTTTTGATAAACCTTTCAGCTGGTAATTTAATATGAAAAAATCATAAACAATCCTGTGCCTCATATGGCAATTTAATATGAAAAAATCATAAACAATCCTGTGCCTCACAAACTATCTAAAAAGGTTTGCTATAAAATAAGGAATACATTTCAGCTGCTAATTTCATGTGAAATGAAACAAGATACCATCTCAAAAATAAAAGGTACAGGAGAAAAGAAAAGGTACAGGAGAGCCAAGCCTTATGGCATAAGCATAAGGACAAGCTTCTATAGCAAAGAAAGTAGAACTGGTCTTGGCTAAACCAGAAAAAGGAGGACTTACTATTTGCATCATTATTGTCAGGCGAACCAGACAAATATACTTTTGTGTTACGAAATCCGTGGAATCCTGCCCTTCTGCAATACATGAGGATAGGATACAGAAATAATCGTCTTTAGAAATTGAAATATTAATCATTATGTAAGTAAAGCATTTTCATTGCGAAACTAAAAAGTTACATCTTTTCAAATGGATAATCAAAATGAATATTTTATCACCGTCATGACATAAGATAAGAGAAATGGACTGCTCTAAAAATCATGACTTGACGTGAACATTTCAATTTTGAATCACGTATTTCTATTTTCAGTTCTAGATATCTGGACGTGTTACTTTATCATCCTTGAGATTCACCATACATTGCTTTTACATGCTATAATATTTTCATCAAAACAAAAGGTTGCTCCAATTATATCTATTAGTTTGATTTATGGTCATGATCTGCCAAAAGAATCATAATCACGATAATTTTCCCAATTTAATCGGTAAACAATGTCTCGATTGCAAAACATCTGAGGCTTTTGAAGTGTAACAGTTTAATCTCTCAAAGAATACTGAAATTCTAAACTCTGGAGCTTGCAAATAGTACCTTGAAAGAAGCTTGTAAAGGGCAAGGCTTGCAGAACAGCCGAGCAGAGCCCCCGAGGCAATTAGGGTTGCGCTCTTCCATCTTTCTGCCATGTCCCTGGAATTTCAAAGGTTTCTCTCTCACTCTCTATTCTGAGTGTCCTCGTTTTCATGTCACGAAAGACCGCCATTTTTCTTTTTTCATTTCAAGACATCAGAGGCCTTAAAAATTAGGGTTCACAAAATCAAACCGTCGAACCGGAACACGTTAGCCCGCAAGCAATTTAACCAGCCTAACCGGTAGACCGGGCGATTAAACCACTCTTTCATGCAAGAGTTGATGTGGCGTAGGAGATAGAGATGGCAAAAGACAAGTTAGTTTACCCGAGGGCTAACGAAGCGATGCGACCTACACCATCGAAAACGTGATCAATTGCCGGGCTAGGCAAGTCCCTACGATAAAAAATATTTTAAAAAAAAATCTGTTCCAAATCGATTTTAACGAACTAAAAATAAAAAATAGATTTTAACGAATCGATTTGTGCTTAAGAGTATTTTTAAAAAAAATTAAAAAGATGGAAAAATATAAAAGTATTATTGACCCAAAAAAAATTTATTCTTTACCATAATGTAAAGAATATTAAAATAGTGTTAAAAAATTGACTTGACCAACTTTTTTTTTACAAACAAAATGAAAAAAAAAATTAAGTTATATATAATATAGGCCCTTTTTTTTGTCAACTAAGTAGTAAATGGTGGATTGGTTAGTGGGTCTAATAATAAAGAATTTGTTTCAAGTTTTATTCCAAAAACACTGGGATTCGAACCAACGATGAAATGAATTTGAATTCTTAAAATAAAAAATTCTTCTTAAAAGAAAAAACGCAAAAACGCTAGGATTCGAACCAACAACGAAATAAATTCGAATTCTTAAAAGAAAAAATGCAAAAACGTTGAGATTCGAACCAACAACGAAATGAATTCGAATTCTTAAGGATTCGAACCAACGACGAAATGAATTCCAATTCTTAAAAGAAAAATGAATTCGATGAATTCGAATTCTTAACAGAAAAAACGCAAAAACGTTAGGATTCAAACCAACGACAAAAGGAATTCAATTCTTAAAAGAAAAATGAATTCGATGAATTCGAATTCTTAACAGAAAAAACGCAAAAACGTTGGGATTCGAACCAACGACAAAAGGAATTCAAATTCTTAAAAGAAAACACGCAAAAAAGTTGGGATTTGAACCAACGACGAAATGAATTCGAATTCTTAATGATTCGAACCAATGACAATGAATTTGAATTCAAATTCTTAAGGATTCGAACCAACGACAAAATGAATTCAAATTCTTAAAAGATTTCGAATTCTTAAGGATTCGAACCAACGATGAAATGAATTCAAATTCTTAAAAGAAAAAACGCAAAAATGCTAGGATTCAAACCATAATTCACATGCAACTTAACCGTCATAGCTAACTAATAAAACATTTTAATATATCTAATATTAATTTAAAGTAGTATTGTATGTAAAGTTTAAAATATCGGTTGATCACCAAAACCGCCCAAAGTGGCCAGTTTCGACCTAATCGTGCGGTTACCGATTCGACCGGCTGGTTTTACAAACACTGGTATGGAGTACTGACTAAACCAACTGTAATTAAATTTAAATGTTGACGGAAATACTCTCCACTTTAAGGTAATGGCCACGGAAGGTAAAAGCAAATCGCTGATGAGGAGCTTGTATAGGCAAATAGTACTTTAAAGAATAAAAAAAGTTTATTAACATATAAAACAAAAAGTTTATATACAGCCGCGACTCTAAACAATTAAATTAGAGCCCACCTCAAAAATTTCATTAGAAAATGTTGTTTTGATGCCCAAATATCCTCAAACTGATAATCTCGACATCAAGATGCATGGTCATGAGAAAAAAATAGATTTCAAGTTTTGGAAATAGTGCATCTTGTAACGTATTTTTTGACTGATTTCAAGTTTTCATAGATCTGCTCGATCGACACTACTTTTTAGGCTTAAAATTTTATAATTAAAGATGAAAATATACTTTAGGGCTGTCACAAAGATTTCTAGTATTGAAATCACATTTCTCGACACTACTTGACGGTGGGCTTTACTTTGATTGTTTAGAGCCTCTGCTCTATACAAACCACACCCAAATATAAAACATATTAAAAATAAAAATATATAAAGTGGCCATTTATTGTTGGTACAATGAGGTCCCAATCAATTTTGTTACTCATATTTTAAATTGAATAGTTGTAATAGTATCTCGCGTTCCAAAATAAAAAATTCTTCATATACATCCCAAGTCATCCAATTTCACATCTAATAGCTAAGAGTAATTATAACATCTTCATAACGTAGGTAAATGATCTCATAGTATATATATTCTAACAAATAAAGAAAAAAAAAAAAAAAATTACTGACAAGGATACTTCTATTTCATTAACAAAGAAAACAATTACAAACATTAGTTACCCTCATACACATAAAAATTCAGATGCCACCATATCATTCAGTTGCACCCTCCTTTTTGCCAAATTATCTGCCATGTAATTAGCTTCTCTACAAACATGTGTGAAATACACTTATAGCTGACCTCAAATCTCGTAACCTCTATCCATTCGGTTCAACGCTCCAGGGTGTTCTCCTTATTACATCAAGATATCTAGAGAATGACCTTCAACGCAACAAGGAATGGATCTAAATCTCTGCTGAAAATCGTGAATACCTTGTAGCAAAGCTTCAAACTCTAACATGATTTGCAGTTGTCACCCCATAGGGATCAGCATTACATAAAATTAGTGCATTATTTGAATCCCTTATAACCCCTCCAAAACCAGCTTGGCATGGAATCCCATAAGAGCTTCCATCAAAGTTTAATTTCAAACTACCATTCATAGGAGGCTCCCATCAACCCTTGTGACAAATTTTGATAACTTTTTGTTTAATCAAATTAGCAAGGTTAAAAGTAACATCGACTTCGAACACCCTAAAGCCCTCTTTTGTGATAGAAAACCAACTCCAACTATCATGTAGAGTCTTTCTTTTCACCACATTCTCTCCCAAAGCTTTTCCTTAAAAAAATATTTGATTCCTCTCCTTCCATATTTTCCATAAGACATTGGTTTAGATATTTGCCATATTATTTTTCCCACTTTTGATAAACTTCCACAATTCAATTGTTCCAAAAAATCAATATGACTACTTGGGATTACCATAGCCAACCCCAACATTTGAAATACCCAATACCATATATTATAAGAGAATGGACAATGTAGGAAAAGATAATCTCCACACTCTTCATTTGCCTTACAAAAAATGCAACTATTGGCCATAGTTCTCTAGAGAATAAATCAAAAGTTTGGCAAAAATAAAAATAGTGCAGAAAAATAAAGAAGAGAGACAAATATTTACGTAGGTCGGCAAATTGCCTATGTCCACGAGGTAGCAACGTTCATTTCTACCAATCAAAAAGGCACCATGCAGGCATGGAGAATACAAGAGATTATAAACTCTCTCTCTCTCAAGCCCTACAACAAGGTTTTTTTCTATCTAGAATACCCACCAAAAGAACTAATGCATATTTTATTTTCCTTATGTTTTCTCTCTTTACAAAGACACTCTTTACACAGAAAAAACCCGATGGCTATTCACATGAAGCATCTATCCCAATTCCTAATTCTCATAAAATTCCTAGTGCTACTAGGATCTTGTTTCCCACAAAATAGGAAGTCTACAAAGGAATAGACTAATCACATACAACTCCTCAGTGAAAAGGAATCTTCGTCATCCCTAAGATATGGCTTCAATATATATCTCACACCATAAGGAAATAACCACCTATAGATGATCATGTGACTTCCCACAAAAATACGAAACTAGGGTTGCACACGTTAACAAGTTCTACCTCTCTTCATCAGATTACCCATCGGTAGACTTGACATTGAATACTCCATCATTCTCGGCCCTCCCACACCAATTCTTCATCCATCATTTGCGATAATCAGCACTTCTGAAGATTGTTGAGCAATTCAAAGTACCTTGATATCACTCTATTCAACACCTTGTTATGAGAAAGCTAAATGTTTCAGTCTATTCTTTCACCAATAACATCACCTACCTCCATCACTTTAGCCCCTAGCTGTGTAGACAATGCAATATCTCTGTAAACTGAAATTTTAGTGCATTATCACTTATCTAAAATGAAATCATATCACCTTTGCCCATCACCTATCTCAAACAATTTTGCGGTAAAGTTCTAGTTCCCACAATGCCTTTCCACATAAGAGACTGATCCCCAATCCTTCTACCCCTAGAATATCCACTGGGTTGTATGATTTACACCATATTTTGCCACCAACACCTCCCTAGTTCGACTTTACTACAGGTAAACTGCCACCATCACTTGGCTAGAGGAGCTCGATTGGCCAACTTTAATATTCTAATTCCACACCCACCAACATTCTTAAGAATACACACCCTATCCCGATTTACTAAATGATATTTTTGGCCTTTGCTATATAACCGCCATAAAAAATTCCTCATCAATTGTTCTAAAAGCCTTCAAATTGAGCCAAGTATCACCAATAGAATTGATAAATTGGCAAATTGGACAAAGATGCTGGAATAAAAGTGACTCTTCCTCCCAAAGATAGATGCTCTTTTGTATAATTCGATCCCAAACTGATTTTGGCATCTTCGAGTCATAAATGAGCACCCCCAAATATTTAATAGGAAACAACTCAACCTTGCATTTCATGTGTGCAACCAAAGCATCCACTACTTCTTGAGAGCAGGCTACTCCCATCAATGAAGTTTTGCTAAAGTTAACCCATGAACCCAATGCCATCTTACAGCATCGAAGCATTGTACTTATGCTTTCCACTTGCTCAATTGCTCAACATTTGTATCACAAACGAGTAAAGTGTAATACGCATATTGCAAATGCAAAATTGTAAATCCAACATTCAAAGATCCAAGGTCTTCACTTCTCCCCAAATCCCATACACATCATAATTTCTAGCAATGCATCTCATTCGATTCGATCATTGGCTTTCTCTATATTCAACTTGAATACAATCATTGGCTTCTTACTTAATTTTCTTGAGTGGATGCATTTTTGCACAATCAAAATACCATAAGTTATAAATCGATATTTGATAGAAGTTGTTTGGGGGTT